GCTCCTCATAGCTATGCTTTCTTATAGTACCCAGGACCATCAGCCCAGGGTAGCACCTCCCACCATGAGCTGGACCCACCCACAACAATCAAGAAAATGTACCCTAGGCTTGCCCACAGGCCATCTTAGTGGGGACATTTTCTTAACTGAGGTTTCTTTTTCCACAATGACTCTAGCTTGTGTCAAGCTGACATACAACTGGCATAGCTACCACATAAATGACTGATCCTGTGAACTTCCATTTCCCCTTCAAAGTGGGCGTGGACAGTATCAACTGTCCTGCCACGATGCCGGCGGCGGCATCTTTTCAGGTACAAAGTAGATACTCAGTGCATCCTCTTGATAGGAATTTGAACTCAGAGTCCCTTGGGGAGATGGGGTGTGTCTGGCAGAGTGGGAGGGAAGGAAATAGGAGTCTAGTTTGTGGTATGTGGGAAGCCATATTCTCCCTACAAACTCTGGCATTTTCCTTGGCAAGGGCTGTGTGCCTTTTAAGTCTCTGGTGCCTGTTTATCTCTCATCTTGGAAGCAGGGGCCAGGGAAAGGCCAGGCCTGTGAAGGCTAGGTCTCAGTGTTACCAGTAGTTGGGGTCTAGGCCAATGTTTCCAGGTTCTTGGGCTCTTATTTAAGGAATTGAAGTAAAGATTCACACTGGTCACAAAGGTAGCAAGGTGATTGTATTCAATCCAAAGCAATAATACAGAACAAAAAGAAATGAGCCAAGAGTGACAAGTGCCACGGGAATGAGGTTGCTTAAGGTCATTGGTTATTGTTTGGGGCTTTCTGTGGGGGAGGGGTGGTTCAAGAGAAGGAGGAATTTGCCTGTTAAGAGGCATAGCATGGGAATTCTCTATTTTGATTCACAGATCTGCATTAAGTAAGCTCTGTCCACTAAGCATGTTCCTTCCTATTATGCATCTGATTTTGATCATACATACAATTATGCATAGGCATAAGATGGTAAATAGAGTATTTTCCCTAAAAGTTCATTTATAAGACACAGTTTAGCCTCAAATTAGTTCAGGACAGATTGGCTGTCCTATATACTGGTCTATACTAGGAACGTGTTTGAATAGAAATGGAAAAGAAACTGATGCCATTATTTAGAGAGGGTTGTGTGTGCAGCTCAATGCAGGAAGGAGGCCTAGGTTGCCAGGTACATTTTTGAGAAGAGAGGCACGTGCATAGTACATGCAGTGAAGGTCTAGGTTGCCAAGTGCATTGTTAGAAGAAGGGTGTGGAGAGCCCAACCGAGCAGAGTCCCGGGTTGCTAAGCTATTTCCGAAGCTTGCCTTGCTCAACAGACAAGAGCAGGGCTTTGGTAGTCACACAGCTGGCGGTGCGTCTCGCCCTGGGGTCCCAGTAGGTCTGTTTGCTGTTGCTGTGTTAAGATACTATGACCAAGGCAACTGAGAGAAGAGTTTATTTGGGCTTACAGTTCCAGAGGGGGATGTCCATAATGGTGGAGGGAGGTATGGCAGCAGGTGGCTGGAGCAGGAAGCTGAGATCACATCTCAGCTGCAAGCATGAGGCAGAGAGAGTGAACTGAAAGTGGGGTGAGGCTATGAACTCCCCAAAGCTGTCCCCAGTGACTTATTTCCTCCAGCAAGGCTGCACCTCCCAATTCCATACCCCCCCCCAGAAAAACAACATCACCATTTGGGGACCAAGTGTCCAAATACATGGACCTATGGGTGACATTTCTCATTCAAACTACCACAACAGGTAACTGCAGTTTGAGTCTCTAGGTGACATTGAGAATGAGGCCTTGAGATTTGGGGTGGGGAGGAGCAGGGGGAGGTATCCCTGTTCCTAGAGATGTGCAGGGTGGTCTTGTGTGAGTTAGTGCTTCTCTTTTAGCCTCAATTTCTTCCTTTGTAGGTGAGGAGGGTCACTCCTGTTGGGAGGGTTGGGAAGCTCTCATGGGCCAAGGTGGGAGAATGGTAGCCAGCCCTTTCCCCCTACTGTCTAGCAAATGACTGAGAAGTTTTCAGGTCATGCCATCCTATGGGCCTGGTGAATTACTGAAGCCTTCTCCTCAGACCCTGGGCAGGACAGGGAGCTTCAGGGAACCTGGGGCTGCAGCTAGGGGTCTCTGGTTGACAGAGGCTGTTTGCTGAGTGTCGTCCTGAGTCCCCACTGTTTCGGTTATACAACAAGATGGCAAGTGTTAGAGGGTAGAGGGCACAATGGCTGCAAAGCCTCCTACACAGAGAGCACTCAAAAACGGGCTCAGGACGCAAGTGAATCCCATCTCCAGTATTTCCTGAATGTGTTAAGTGAGGAAACTGCTCAAGCTTTGGGCCTCAGTTTACTCACCTGTAAGGAGAGGGCTTAGCCATACCCACTGTACAGGGTATTTCAGTAACACGCAGGCAACAGACAGGAAAAATCACAATGACTGGCAGTCAACCAGAGCTATGTGGTAGGATGTGGCCTCCTCTGGGGCATGGCCATGGTCAGGGACTCCATGTCCTTTAATGTCCCTGTCTGCCTGTCACTGCCACAGAATCAGACCTTAATCAGTTAAGAAACATAATTGGATTTTAGTTAGACCACAGCAGGCTCTTTCATACCTTAAAGAGTGTTCTCTTTCTGGAAAGGGATTTAGTAATTGGAAAGAATGTGGATGCAGACCAAACATGGAATTCTGAGTCACACAAGTCATGTGACCATGGACAAGTCACTTCCTCTCCATGGAGCACCTTCTTCCTTTACAGAATGGGGATAATTATGGCAGCACTGCTGGTTCCCCCAGGGTGTGATGGGACTCTGGGGGCTGAAACCCTGTCCAAGCCGTCCTTGGCCCAGGGCCAGCTTCTTAAATCTGCCGCTTCCTGGCTCAAAAGCTTCCGCAGGAGTAGAGCTTTGGCTCAGGAGTGTCCTGGTGACTCCTGGCCAGAGGAAACCAGGGTTTGTAACTTACTCTGCAGCGCTCACTCAGCCCCGATTCCCAGCTCATCTGCCCGCCTCTGGCTGTGGCAACCTAGTCTGCTCCATGGGAAGGCAGACATCTGGCCTTTGGTGTCTCAGGCTGGGCAACTTTGAAATCCATACCCTCGTGCAAGTGACTTCATCTCTCTGGTCCCCAGGCTCCCATCTGGGGACTGTGTTAACTGTGGTCCTTTCCTCCAAGGGAGCTTAGCTTGTGCATGCTGAGCAGGACTGGGATGAGATGACCAGTGGTGGTCACATCTCACCCCAAAACTGTCTGCTGAGCACCTACTGTGTGCACTGTGCATAGGTATAAAATGGACAGACTCATCTCAGCCTTAGGGGTCTCTAGTCCGGTTGGGAGAGTGACACCCAAAGTGGTAAGTGCTGTCTTAGTCTGAGAGTATCTAAAACAAAAAATGCCCAGTGTGGTGGCACTCATCTTTAATCCCAGCACTCACAAGGCAGAGGCAGAAGGATCTCTATGAGACTAACTACTCAAGGCCAGCCTGATCTACATAGCCAGTTCCAGGCCACCCAGGGCTATATAGTGAGATCCTATCTCAAAACAAATCACAATACACACATACGCACATGCACGCATGCACGCACCCATGCATGCCATCATTCCCTTCAGGCAGGCAGCAGGCTGCCCAAATCCACAGAAAGGGGAAAGTGAGCTGAGCACCAGCATCCACCACTCTGTTTCCCAACTGCAGATGGAATGTGAGTAGCCAATTCCCGTTGACCCGCTTTGCCGGCCACAGTGGGCTGTACCTCTTGTCACCGTCAGCTAGAATGAATATCCTTCTCCCTGAAACTGCATTTTGTCCAGTGTTGGGTCACAGTACAAGAAAAGTAACTAATACAGATGTTAAAATGATCAAGGCTGGGTCACTTACGAAGAAGAGTTTTATGTAACTCACAGTTTGTAAGTTCAAGGGCACGGGGTTGACTTCTGCTTAGCTCCATGGAAGGTAGATAGCAGCAGAATGGTGGGATTGTTCCACGAAACCAGAAAATTATCTATAACAACTAACTCTTAGGGGAACAAGCAATGGTTTGAGAGAGAGAGAAAGAGAGAGAGAGAGAGAGAGAGAGAGAGAGAGAGAGAGAGAGGGAGGGAGGGAGGGAGGGAGGGAGGGAGGGAGGGAGGGAGGGAGGGAGGGAGGAAAAACAAGATTAATTCCATAAGAGGGCAGCACCCCAGTGACCTAAGGACTTTACCTGAAGTCCACCTCTTCTTTCCATGACAGTTCTACTCCTTCTCATACCACCGTGCTTAGGACCAAGTCTCTGACATAACAAACCCTTGGGGAGCACCACACATGCAGACCATAACAAATGCAGTGATGGAGAAATGCCAGGTTGTACGGCAGAGCGACTGGTCTCCCAGGTGCTCTTGGGTTGAGCTCGCTGTGGACAGAACTGGAGGGGGATCTGAGTATAAAGGGACATCGAGGAGGGATCAGGGTGGGGACAGGCCTAGAATACGGGGGTAAGAAGCCTGTTGGCAAGGTCACTTCTGTGGCGTCACCGCCTGAGGAGGGGACAGAGGGGTTGTGGCAATGCCCACCTGAAAGGAGAGCGGAACATTACCTTTGTGGGAAGTCCAGCCAGCTCTCCTGCTGTGCCTCTCACTGAGGGAGCTGAAGGCAGCCGTCCAACTAAACCTGACTGGGTTAGAATTCAGACCTAGATGGAAAGGCTATGGCAGATGATATTGTCCCTGAAGTGTGGGGGCCTCTAGAGGGTGTTCCAGGTTGGGGGACAGATCCAGATGTATCGTATTGGCCGGATGAAAGTACATCTGCCACAGCCTAGTCCCCAGTGATACCTCCAACCCTGAAGAGTCTTTGTGGATAAGCACATTTCCCAAAGCCTGTGCCGCCTCTGCATGTTCATCCAGCCCACACTCCAGAGCACCAAGCCGGGGCTCTTTCTGCACCTCCTGCCTCCTCTATTGGTCCAGCAGTGGTAGGCAGGGCTGTGGTAGACAGGGCTGTGGTAGGCAGGGCTGTGGTAGGCAGGGCTGTGGTGGAAGGAAGTACATCTGATCCTTTTGCTCTCTGGTCTCCCTGCCTCCTGGAAGCTCACAGGCTTTTTAAGGCAGAAAATAACCAGCAAGACCAGGAAAGACAAAAGCAGCCTGTGTCTAGGGTGGGGGCCATGGAGCGGCAGTCATGGGACGCACCTTGATGGCCCCAGAAACCTGAAGGAGAGGAACGCACAGCACAAGTAGGTACCGTGGGATTCAGAGAGCCTTGTCCACTCCTGGCCTGGCCTCTTGACAGCTCATTTGTTTGGTTAATGCTTCTGGCCAGGGGTGAGTGGGAGCCTGGAAGACAGATGCCTCTCACCTAATGTGGGTGCTGGTGGCCTGGGAGTTAGGAGCTAGAGCTCCAGCCCTGCCCCACGACTCCTTGGGCTGTTATTGCAAAGAGATGAAGATCATCTGACACACACGACTCCAGGCTCGTGTTTGGAGACCAGCACTGCAGCCAGCAGTTAGGAGCAAGTGGGAACACTGCTGCACACACACACACACACACACAGTCTTCCTTTTAGTTTGAACCTCAAATGCTTCTTCCCACGTGGGGCTGGAGATATGGCTCCGTCAGTAAATGACCTCCTGCACAAGCACAGTGGCCTGAGTTGGGATCCCCAACACCCATGTGAAAAGCTGGGCATAGAATGTGTTTGGAACCCCAGTGCTATGAGGGCAGAGACAGACCAACCCCTGGCTCATTGACCAGCAAGGCTAGCCAATCAGCTCCATGTTCGTGAGAGACCCTGCTGTAGAAAAATAAACTGGAGAGCACAGTGATAGGGAAAATACTCAACATAGACCTCAGGCCTGCACCTGCATGCCCTCACATGGCACACATGCACATACTCATACAAATATGTAGATGCATGCACACACAATATCCCCAACAGGTCCATGCTGGAGTGCTTCATCTAGAGGCTACTGAATTTTCAGGAGGCCTTAGTGGTAGAAGCATGTCACTGGGGTGGGCCTTTGAAGATTATGTTGGCCCCTGGATTCTGACTTGAATCTACTTCCTCAGTTGCCATGATGTGAGCAGCCTCTGCTGCACATGCCCACCGCCATGAGCTGAGCTGCAGCTCCACAACTTCCTCATCACCATGGACTGAAGAGCTCTGAAACCGTGATCGAAACAAATGTCTCCTGCCTTGAATCGTTTCTGCCAGGTATTTCTGTCACAGCACTCTGAGAGTAATAAAGGCAATCTTGCAATCAAGCTGTTGTGCAGTCAGTATTCTCCCAGGCATGGGCCGAGTTCTGCCCTCATGAAGACACTGACTATTAAGTAGCTAGTATAAGAAAGCAGCCCCCAGTGTGGTTAAATGCAAGACAGATAGACGATGGCCATAGTCTACAACTGCCACAGGCCACCTCAAGTCATCTTTAGCTGATGGCTGGACACAGTCTATTAGGTCCATGCAGAAGTGCCTCCCTGGGGCTGACGGGTTCCTTACACTGTGTTCATGCCAGGAGAGAGCGCCTCTGAAATACTGCAGCCAAGTTACATATTCTGAATTCCACTCATCTCATCAAGTGCTTGCTTCCAGCATCCATTAAGCTGCCTAACAAGCCGCGGATTTCACCTCTGGAAACACATTTATTTTTAACAGTCATTATGCTAATCAGCCAAGCCTCTGCCGTTGATCTTCCAGGAAGATAAACGGACCCCTTGTTGTGGTGGCTTCTGAAGGGGTGTTGGCAACTTGGAGAGGATGCTGATGGGCATCTTGGGACTACGAGCTCCAAGCAGCTGCCTGCCCTGGAGCATGGCACACTTTCTACTCCCCCACACCCCAAGGTATTGGAAAGTTTACTTCTGACATCATAGTTAATGCCTTCTGCCTGGCAATCTTGCTTCTGTGGTGAAGAGCAAGCACCCCATAGCCACAATGAAGCCTCCGACTCCATGCAAGAAGCCAGGCCAAGGCTGCCCTGAGCTCCCTGCAGATATGGGTCACTTTTTCCCCAGTGGCTGCATCTCCCTTTGACCCCCACACTTCCCTAAAACATGCCTGATTGCACAATCAATCTTTATCCCTAAACATTCTTGGTTCCACAAGCCATCCATTGTCCGTTACTCCTTTTTTGTTTTTTTATGTACAGGGAATGCTTCATTAGTGTTCATTTCTTATGTACCAGCTAGACCTCAAGCCTCAGTCCCCAGTGTTCATCACTCAGTAAATACTATCATCCAGGGACACAGCAACATCTGCAGATGCTCAAGTCCCTTACAGAAAATACTGTGGTATTTGCATAAAGCTGACACAGACTTGCCGTATAAGTCATCTCTAGACTGTAATACTGATAGAATGTAGAATCTACACAAATCCTTGTCCTGTATCGTTTAGGGAACACAGCCTTTTATCCCCCGCCTCCAGAATATTTCTGATCCATGTTCATTGATTCTGTGGGTGTGGATCTGAAGATGTGGGGGTCTGACTATCCTGAACCCCCATTTGGGGTACAAAATAGTGGCACAAAAGAGCCTTTCCACCATCACTATTGCTGTTCAGAAGCAGAAAGGTGTTGTTTGACTATGACTGGCCTCCACAGACTCATGTGTTTGAATGCTTGACCCTTAGAGAGTGGCACTATTAGGAGGTATGGCCTTGTAGGAGGAGATAGGGCCTTGTTAGAGGAAATGCATCACTATGGAGGTGGGCTTTGAGGTCTCATATACACTTAAGCTATGCCCAGTGTGGCACACAGTCCTCTCCTGCTGCATGCAGATCAAGATGAAGAACTCTCAGCTCCTTCTCTAACACCATATCTGCCTGCATGCCACCATATCTGCCTGCATGCCACCATGTTTCCTCCCATGGCAATAATGGACTAAACCTCTGAAACTGTATGCCAGCCCCAATTAGATGTTTTCCTTTATTAGAGTTGCCATGGGTATGGTATCTCTTCAGAGCAATAGAAATCCTAAGACAAAATAGATATGATTGTCAGGAAGGGATTGGGCTCCTCTGGACCATTGCCTGACTGGTGGAAGCCAGTCCTGGTCCTGCTGGGGTCTCTTGGATCTTTGCTTCTCCAAGTTGTGCAATGCTTTCCAGAGAGGCTAAGTGTGGGGCTCCTGTCACCTGCCTGAGGCCTGTGAGACCCATGATTATGAGCACACATTAGCTGCCAGGGATCACAGACCTCTTCCTTGGTCCTAGGAGCAAGGAGCTGTGTTTCTAAAGAGCTGAGCCTTTGTGATGTTTTGTGGACAGAGGGGACAAAGTAGAAGCAAAGGACAGACAGACAGACACAGAGTCATAGCCCACTGCCATAGCTGAGCATTGAACCCCTCCATGCCAGGTATAGCTAAGGCCTGGAATGCTAGGGCTAGGAAAGGCTCAGGCCCCTCTCTCATGGAGTTGTGAGTCTAGAAGGGGCCTCATACTCCTGCCTGCAGCCTGTGCTTCTTGTGACTAAAGCTGTATTGGAACACAGGCATGCTTGTCCATGTCTGGCAGGGTCTCTGTCGATTGCCTCAAGAGTATACATGACCAACAAAACCTGAAATGCCAATCAACTACCATTATAGTAAAGGCTTGTTGGTCACAGTGAGACAATGTGTAGTTAGGAGGAAAAGCAGAGGACGAGTGAGAGACGAAACTGCATACAATAAAGGAAAGGGGAGTGGGAGTCCTCATCCCTCTGTGAAGACAGAAGGCTGTTTCTGTAGTTTACGTGTCCCCACAAAAACTCAGGCTGAAATTCAGTCCCCATGGCAAAGTATTTAGGAGGGTGGCAGCTTCATCCAGTGACAACCTTCTGAGGCTGGCTTTTGGGAGGTAACCAAGGTAATGTGAGGTTGTCAAGATGGGACCCTAGTCCACCAGGACCAGACTTTCTAAGAATAGGAAGAGAGACCTGAGCCAGACACAGGGCCTCACTGTGTGCTGTCCTGACATGAGTGGGGACTCATCAGCCAGTCCCTCACTAGGTACAGTCTCTTGACCTTGGAGTTTTTCAGCTTTCAGAACTATAATAAATAAATTTCTTTCCTATATAAATTATCCAGTTTATAGTGTTCAGTTATGGTAACAGAAAAAGATTTAAGATGGCTCAGTTCCCATAAATATTTACGTTTGCTATCCTTCACCATGACAAAATTCCACAGTTAATGGTTTGGTCCTTAGGGAGAAGCCCAGCTTTGGAGCCTCCCCGTGGGAAGCCCAATTCTTACTCACTTTACTGCCTTGACTCCCTGGGAGACAGACAACACTGCAGGAGAGACCCAGAAGCCAGAAGGGAGCAGAAAGGCCAGTCCTTAGCAGGTGAGAACTAGGGGGTCCAGATGGCTGTGTGGAGCAGGCTGCTAGCAGGAGAGCTGTGGTGCTTGGGGCTGGGTTTGGGTGCTTCTCATAGCTCCCCTGCGGCTTCTGAGGGTGAGGCCACACTTGGGACCAAAGGACTCACTCACCAGGAGCCAAGCTGGGGTTCCTCTGCACATGTCTAAACTTGGGGAGTGCTTGATTTTGGGGTGTATTCTCTCTCTCCCTCTCCTTTTGCTCACTCACTGTGTGTTTGTGTCTGTCTGTCTGTCTCTTTCTCTCTTCATATGTAGTCATTTTATGTTATGATGTGCACACCAGAATGGATCTATCCATCTCTATTTTGTAGATAGGGAGAAGTGAGAAGTAAAATACAGGGTATTCTCTTTAATAAAAATATTTCAACATTATAAAAAAAATTAGGTACACACAATGAATTTTTAGAATATTTTTAAAAGTCACAATGTTTTGAGATAAAAAAACCCAGCAAATATCATAAGCATCCCAAAGTCAAATAAGTATTGTCTACTCATTAAGTTCCTCACATCTTCCTACTTTCATGCACATGTGTATGTTTATGTGTGCAGCTGCATACACACATCTGGAGGCCAGCTCTTCAACTGTTACTTCTTTTCCACCTTACTCTCTGAGATAGGGTCTCTCACTGGAGCTTTTGGGTTCAGCTAGATTGGCTGGCTAGCATGCCCTCAGGATGTGCCAGTCTCTGCCCACTCAGAGCTGGTATACAGATAAATGCTATGTCTGGCTTTTTTTGTGTGGGTTCTAGGGATCAAACTCAGATCCTCAGGCTTGCTTCTCCCGAACCCATGTCCTTTCTGTGTATATTCTACTTGAGTCTAGTAGTTTTCATCCTGCTTTGATGTTTTCTACATAGGTAAAAGAATGCTAGGTCACCTTTTTCTTTTTTTGGGTTTTTGTTTGTTTGTTGGTTGGTTTTGGTTTTTCAAGACAGGGTTTCTCCATGTAGTTTTGGTGCCTGTCCTGGATCTCGCTCTGTAGACCAGGCTGGCCTCGAACTCATAGAGATCGGCCTGGTTCTGCCTCCTCAGTGCTGGGATTAAAGGCATGAGCCACTGCTGCTCGGCTGCTAGGTCACCTTTTATGCCATGCTGCTGACTGGCATGCTTTGTACTGAGTTGGCGTGTATAGAACATGAGACTTCACACACATGCAGGACTTTGGGTCTAGCTCCTTCAGACAAGAAGTTTTAGTAAACTATTTTGTATTTTTTCCATCATAAAATATAATGTATGGTGTATGAAAACTGGTTAACACTGCATTATTGGGGATGTTTTGCCTCTGCGAAATAATTTTGGCTAGATGGTGATGAGAATGGAGTCTGATTATAGCACTGTGTCTGAGGATCATTTTCTTTGTCCAATCCCAAGATGTTAGCCTCTGTCCACTTCTGATCTTGTTTGTCCTCTAGGACCCACACATTCTTGGTCCCCAGCCCGGGGCTCTCACCAAGGTGCTTCATCACATCCCAGGCTGTGCTCATTCAGGGCAGTGATGAGGTAAGTCAGCAGGGCAGAAGGCTATTCCTGGAAGCCACTGCTAGGCCAGGGTGGATAACATCAACCTGCACAAGGAAGGGACAATGAGCCACATCTGTATATCACACTGGGCCCAAAAAGTGTCCCCAAGTCATCTTCCCCCAAATGTCCCCTTTTGCAGGATAAGCGTAACAGAAGTCCAAGTTGGGAGAGCTGTTACCCTGGCTGTAGCCAGCACGCATCACCTCTTCAAATCTATTCATCTAATGAATGCATAGACAGACTGTGATCCACTCTCACAGAGGACTATCATCCAGTACTGGCACTGGTGGACTCAAGGACGGGCCCTGAAGGCACTGTACAAGTGAAAATGCCTGGACACAAAAGACCACGAGAGTTGCTGATTGTAATTGGAGAGTGATGGGTATGAG